CTAAATTTTTTATCACATAATTATTGTTCTGTAGTTGTAGTGTTTTGTATAAGTTTTCAATAAAATAAGACATAAAATACCAAATTATTCCCATTTATTGAATAAATAGTTTAACTCTACACACAATTTAACAATTCCTCTAATATTTCTTCAATGAAATAACTTTTATTAGATTTGAAACTTTGCAATTTTGCCAATTAATTTACATTTAAGTATTTTCATAACACTTTATTCGTCAGATTAACAGTTAACGCAATAGTTAACAACAAGTCTTGAATACCACAGATTTAAAATATACTCTCAAATGAAAATGATTGTAAAAATACAAATTGGAATTCAAATCAAAAACCCTATTATAGACCTCATGTTAGCTAAAGAAATAAATATTTTCAAGGCTTTGGGAAACAGAATCCAAACGGTGGGCTTAAACTCAGTTTTGTTTTATCAATATTTTGTATACACTTTGACACAAAATTGTTGCAGAGTTCTTAAGACTAGACCTAAAATTGTTGCACAAATAAGGCTTTGGGAAACAGAATCCAAACGGTGGGCTTAAACTCAGTTTTGTTTTATCAATATTTTGTATACACTTTGACACAAAATTGTTGCAGAGTTCTTAAGACTAGACCTAAAATTGTTGCACAAAAATGTTTGGACAAAATATTAAATATTTATTTTGAGACATAAATATCATAATTATTATTATTATTATTGTTGCAGTTCTTCGAGAGACTGCTTAAGAGTTGGCGTAAAGTATTTGACGGTCTCGTCGTCGCTGCTGTCGTCGGAGAACTGATTGCCATCGCTTTCGGCACTATAGGAACGCATGTGTTTGGCGTCCGGAGAGTCACTACCGTTTCGGGTGGGACTCGACGACGGACTCGGAACAGGAGACAGAGCTCTCTTCAGACGACCCGTGCTTTGGCTCAAGAAGTTATTCTAACCACAAGACAACATTTCATGAGATTTCATTCATAACACAAGTGTTCAAAAGACATACAATCCTTCCTTCGCGACCGAATAATTCGAGGAAATTATTGATGAATTCTCTGGACTTGTCCTCCCATTTCTGGATCAGTTCGTGTCGTTTCTCTTCCAGATTCTCCACAAATGTCTTACTCTTATCTTTGAACGAATCCAATGTGTTTTGAAGCTTAAACTTCTTCTCCTAAATAGAGGAATGAAACCAACAAATATTGAAGACTCCAATCAAACGGCAATTTGTGGCGAAAGAGTCATACGTTGAGGAACGAGACGTTGAGTTCTTTGGCGGAGTAGCCACGCGCCAGATTGCGCCGGACGTACACATCGTAATCGCGGACTATTCGCGACACCAAATCCGATGTGGAAATGCCTTCCGTCCTCTCAGTCGTGTAGAACATACCCTTCTCTTTGATGAATGTGTAGACATCGTCCGAAGTGGAGGACGTGTAGGGGATGTCATCGTGGGCGACAAAATCAATCTATACGTCAGATAACTCTTTATCAGTAATTGGTTACGAAAGCGAATCTCAAGTGATTTGCAAACCTTATGCTTCTCCAAGAACTTATCGGTCAGAACCCACGGCGCGTCTCTCACCACTTCATCAACATATCTGCAATGTCTGACCGCTTCGTACCGTTCCGTCTCATTCATGACAGTCTTTCCCTTGTATTTGTTGGTCAATTTATCGCTGTTTACTATAATCAGAGGTAAAAAACACGTCAATAAGTGGTGTGAGGAGTGATATGGAGTGCTAGTGATGGCATACCTCCGACAATAAGCCAGACATTATCAAAGGCAGTCTTGGCCTGCAGTAGTTGTCTGGCGTGTCCCGCGTGAAACATGTCGTATATGCCGTCCGCGTATATCCGGATGCGTCTCCCGATGAGACCCTTTTTGCCCGAATCTAAGGACACTTTTAACGAGTAATCGCATTCAGACAACTCCTGAATGGCTTCCCTGTCATCACTAAAAATGGCGGGTTTTATGAGATTCGGCCGCTTCTGAGGAGGACTTCCATCGCACGTATGCCTCGACGAAGAGTTGCGGCGCTTTCGGGACGACATCTTTCTCTCCAGTTATGATAGTCTTTGGGATCTAAGTCTCGTTTCGCACGTGATTTGCAAACAATTACTAAATGAATGACAAAATACAGCAAATAATGGACACTATTATCATAAATGTGTGCTTATTATGGCAACAAATGCCAGTGAATGGTGACAATCAATGATCACTTTGATTGACACAATTAACACAATTAAATGACAAGTATTTGTGCGAAGAGGTGACAGCTTTGTGGCAATGGTTGAGACAATTAACCGATTGTTACGATCAATGATATAATGAGTGGTATTAGTGGTAGTATTGGTGGCAAAGCATTGACTAATCATACGATAAGTACTGAACCAATGGTTTGCTGTTTATATGATATTTATAAGACTCCGACAATCAGTAAAGCATTCAATATCTCAATCACTGCCTCTTTGGGCCAAAAGTCAAGTGATTTCACAACAGATTCATAAATATTTTCAAATTCAATGCATTATTATATTATATATGAATTGACAATCAATTGGCACTCATTTGAGGGCTATTTTTGGTTTCAAATCGCGGACACAATATATGACTGAGAAATGGGTTTAC